AAGATCGGTGTGTGCAAGGTGTCGCCGAACGGGAAACAGTGCAGCACCTCATTTCAGCTGATCGGGTACAACGAGCAGACGAACACCAGTGTTGTATTGTGCAAGCCTCGTTCGGGCCGCATGCACCAGATCCGTGTCCATTTGCAGTACCTGGGACATCCAATCCAAAATGACCCGTTGTACAACGACACGATATTCGGCCCGGAGAAGGGGCGATACGGTAATTTTGGCAAAACCGACGAGCAACTTATCCACGACTTGATAAACGCTCACAACGCTGAAAATTGGTCGGTGGCCGATAACAGACTTCCTGTTCTTCCAGCGGCCGAGGACGGACTTCCGGTTTTACCGGCGGTCGTGCAGAATAACAGCATCGATAATCTGGCACCGCCGTTGCGACAAGCCACGAATGGCGAGTTGAAGGGCGGTGTAATGATCGATGCTTCCATACAAACGGGAATCGACGTGCCGGACGTCAGATTTGATAAAAAAAAGCTTACCGTAGATGCTCACTGTCAGGAGTGCAAAATTCGTTACAAGGACCCAAAACCTACCGAGCTGATCATGTATCTGCACGCTTTAAGGTACAGTGGACCGGACTGGGCATACGAGACGCCTATGCCGGCATGGGCAGATGTCAATTGGAAAGAGCCATGATGTTATTCCTCTTGGAGTGCATGCATAATGTACCTTACCTATAGTAGTTCTGTTCTTGACTTATATTATGATTTGTCGGTTTATTGCTGTTGTCCATAAACGTTTATAATCACTTATTGTTTTCTATTTTATCTTACATTTTTTTAAAGGATGACTTCCCCATCATGGCTGTCTTTCAAATGCTTAGAACTATGATTAACTAATTAACTTCACCGAGAAATTTAAATTTACATCATAMATTTAATTATCCATAATTTTTATTGAAAAAATTGTTTAGAATGTGTTCTTGACAATAATTCAAAGTTGAAACAACTGTATAGTGTATTTTATAATCATAAACCTAATGCGTCAAATGTAGCAACGAAAGTGAACTATTATTGTGTTATTATGAATTAATTTGTATGTTAAATTTTACATTTTTAAACGTACCATTAGCAATAAATAATAGGCAACAATCATTCTAATAAAGTGATGAATAAATTCAGTACAATAATGTAAGAAAATCAGTCGATTTAACAGAATAAACATGGCTTTTGTTAATTAAAAAAAATACAAATTTTAATTATAAATTTAATTTATTAAGGTTATTTAGTAGACCTAATAAAAAAAATTTTTATTTCACAATTTGTTAATTACATATAACTAAACATGAATACATAGTGCTATGAGCTAACCATTGCAATCACTATTACTCATTGTTATTATTAATTTTTATTTAATTGAAAAACCTTTAAATTCCATTTATTAAGTTCTGTTACAATATTAGTATTATGATTTAAACTACTATTGAAAGAATTAAATAAGTAATTTATTGTACTTATTATTGTTACTTAATTTTTTTTTAAAAAACATTTATGTATTTTAACGATTTTGTTTAGAATAATTTGATTAATAGAAATACATTTTTACATTTAGAAATCACTATTCAGTCTAGTTGAAATTAAAATATTAAAATAGTTAATATTGCAATATTTGATGTTATTATTTATCAAGTGTATACAGTAATATGACCAATAAAACTTTTACATATCAGGATCATAACTAGTGGTGTAATGTAAAGTATTGAACACGAGAGTGCCATAAATTAGAAAATATCTATATTTCAGTTATTATATAGGTATATAAAAATTTTATTGATTGAATAATCAAATATTTATTTATTTTCATATAAGTATGATCAATATTTTACTAAAAAGTATAATTATATTATGTATAAAACTAGATATAAAAATATATTCAAAATATAAATAAAAAATGGAAGTTGAGAATTTTAATAAATATAATATATAATATGATAAAAATATGAATATAGGTATTTAATTTTTTTTTTTTTGTACTGCAGAAATCGGATAACGAATAAATAACATATTAACCACCATTTACCAGTCACCTATTTATTTTAGGTTGATATTTTTAAACCTTTTTTAAATAAAACTGTAAAAAATAAAAATAAAATAAAATATCAATATCAATATCTTTAATCAATATTAATTGAATAAGATATATACCTATTTTATATTGAGTTAATAATATGTCTAAAATTGTATATCAAAGTATRGGATTATCATACAACATGAAAAGTGCTAACCAAGGGCGCCCGCAGGGAGGGCAAGGGGGTCATTGTCCCTACTGGGAATATTTTAAAACTATCGTTAATTTAATGCCACACATATTAAAGACATTGTTAAAAAGCAAAAATAAAAAAATTGTTGAAGACATTATACAATTATTTTGAGAGTGGGACTTTTCGGCGCGGGCGATTCGGCGATATATCAATTCAATGATATCCGTTTTCGGATAGCTCGTTGTCGCATACTCGTTAAAGCTGCATGTGTCTGCTTCTATTCTAGCCGCTTCAGAATCATGACAATGTTTTTTATCAGAACATTTTAAATATTTAAAATCATGAATACCACTAATACCAGTATGTATTCGAGCCGGACAAGACAATTCTTTGCGACGACATCGCCAAAACCGTTTAGTTTCGTCCTCACTAAGTTTATCGAATATGTACATAAAACCATCCACGGGGATCACATTTTTATTTCTTTTTGATTTTACTTTTGACATAATAGGTACCTATTTATTTACCTTTTTCGAATGATAAAAAAAATAAATCGCGATGACGGTTACACACAAAATACTTGACATGTACTCCACTTTCTGCCGACTAACTAAAAATTATAAAATTACCAGATTCCATATTGACTATCGTAACCACCTCGTGTAGTAATAGTAACAATAATTTATACTAATAAAGATACAATTTCTATACGCCACACACCATAACAATAACAACAATAACTTATAGTAATAAACTAATAAAGATAAAATGTCTATACCACACCGTATGGCGATACGACAATGTATAGATATTGCTGCATCGCCGAAATGGTCACGCGCCGAAACGTCCTAGATCCAATTATTTTGTATACAACCAAGGCATAGAACTTTTATTTGATAATTAATATAAATATAATTAATTTGTGACATCTATATTAACATGTACCTATTTAAAAAATATTAATATTGTATTGTAAACCTACACATATAAAAGACTTATGTATGACATAATGTTGTTTTTTTTTCTATTTAGGTTATGCTATTTTAGAACGAAGACTAGAAATATATTAAAGTTTAAAATAATCTTTTTGATTTGGTTTTAGAATTTTTATCTTGCCCCTGGTGGGATTTTATCCTGCAGGCGTGCTTGTAGCACTATGATTGAAGCCTGGGAACAATCATATCAACTCCCCTTTACAATGTGCCATTTGATGCGATTTACGAAGCTAAGTTTTTACATATACTTAAATATATACCAACACCACTTAATATGTTCAGGAATTATTGAACATTTCAACAATTCATTTTACGTGATTTGTATGGAAACCGCCTAGTTTTTACAAAACATATTTATTATACGACTAAGATTTAGAAAATTAACTAAGTGCCTTACCTTGTATAATTTGATATTGATATGGTAATAATGGAATATTGGGTAATTCAGTTTTAAACAATAATGTACGGGACGATGTTTTTAATCAAAATCTGTTCCCGCTATGAATTAAATTATATTTAAGAATTTAAGATATATCATGTATGTAAAATAAAGGGGAATATTTTAATGTTAAAATAGTTAAGGCTGGTGAAGCTAAAAGTGGTGAGACAACAGTATTTTCCTATGTAAGGTCGCCGCAGGTGCAGGCACGAGCTATCCCGTGCCGCTGAGTGATCTGGCAAGAACGTAGGTACGATTGTGAGTTCGAAATGATGGTTGTAGGACGTGTTAAGTTATGAAATACTGTTTGAATTTATTTTAATTTTTTTTTACACCTGAAAGTATTATTAACCTAAAAAATCGACTTTGAGTATTAATTTCAGTCGATTTTACGTTCTTATCTTTTGTAGGAATAGCGCCGGAATATATGTACCTACTATGTGTTAATTGTCACTCCATATCATTCCAGCTTAGAAGGAATAAGTATAGAATTGGCAAACATATACCATTACTTCCGAGTTAACAATGCTATTCTAATTTATTTGGGGAGTGTAATTAGCTAGAGAATACGGGGTTAAGGCGTTTTAGGTTTTATTGTGTGTCAATTTAAATGGGTGATACCATACAGCACTATAGAGGCACCTGAAATATAAAATATAATTTTCACATTTTATATAATTTTTAAAAATTTAGAAAGTCAGCATCGGGCTCCTTTATACAAGTGAACCATCATAACACATATATTACAAAGCTATAATTAATCCCCCCGACAAAACTCCATTTCATAATTTATTATTGGGAATGCCGAGGATAAAACAGTTCTATGCATACGAGTCTTTGGTTGAAGGTCTCGACCATGACATTGATGGCTAGTTCTTACAGGGGTTAGGTTAGGTTAGGCTAATCCTATGTGCAGTATATATCACAAATTCCCGCATTACCATATGTCATATTTTTATTTTCGTGAAACCGTGACACATCCGCACATAAATAGATTTAAATGTGGGTTTTCAATATTATTCCATAAGAAAATTATAATTAAATGGCATGAACATTGCATGATAATGGGCAGCTGGGTGAGTGATATTCATTGGCGCAAATCACAGAATAGCTTAGGGGACTTAGCCCACTACCAAAAAAAAAGTAATAATTAGTCCTCCCCAATTTATTAGTGTCCTTCAAATTATTAAATACTCAATGAATAGTCAGGGCTTAACCCCCCCCCCTCTCAATAAATTGAACCAATGGCGATATTGGAATTTTGGGAGAGTTACGTCTAAAAATAATATAGTGTATAAATATATTATGCGACGTGGACACACACCATCTACTGGGTGTTCCTATCTCAAGTGTCACATCTACTTCTGCTACGGGACGATGAGTCACACTCTGGAGCTGCAGGCCTTGTCCTTGACTGGTGTTCGGGTGGCGAGGACTTGCGGCGGCGGCTTATGCCGAACGAATCGTTGAGGCCAAACGACATTAATTGGCGGTTGTCCGACGACGACCACTGACGCCGTCCCGACGTGTCTCGTGAACTGCTGTAGTCGTCGTACGTCGCGGGACTCGGGATGCCCAATCCTTGCAAGTCAATTGAGCTGTGGTTGTTCAATGTCAGGCCCCAAATGTCGGGGGTCGTGTTAACGTCCGACTCGTCGATGTGAACGTACGGCTGACCGGGCAGGGCCACAGCCCTTGGCGCCACCATGTCGTAGTTCAGATGGTTGTCGAGGTAATCGTCGATGTCACCGTCAGTGTCGTGCAACCTACTGTAGGACGATGACCGGCCACGCGGTGGCTGCCGCACAGGTGACAGTCCTTGGAATCCGTCAAGGAGCTGAAAGGTGCCGATCATCGTGAAAGCCTTTAGAGCCTCCGAGTCTTTAAAATTGGATGCTCGTGATGGAWGTGGTTGCACGTCATTACAAGTATTTCTTTGGAGTGCAGTGCACGGTTGCGACACACCGTAAATGCCCCTCCGGTTGTTTTGCTGATGTGTGATGTACGAGTGAGACACGTCATAAATGCCACCTCGATTGTTTTGCGACTCCGGTTCCACGTCATAAGTGATTTGCTGGGGGTTTTGATCGTCGCTTGATGGCGTCTGTACGTTATAAGTGCTGCGCCGGTTCCGAGGACTGCGTGATGATCCTGGTCGGTTAGACACGGCTAATCTGAAATTTGTCAACAGATCCACCGATCTGTCCAGTCTTTTCGGCTGTTCGGGTCGGTACGGACAAGCAGAACGCACAGATTGGGTGGATTGCACGGCGTTCTGAACCTGGAACCCTGGCCTCCGCGACCGTCCATCGTACGTCGACTGATTGTTACAGCGTCTACAACTGTGGGACAAATTGCAGTGGTTATCGCTTCCGGCGTTGCACCGAGCGTAATAACTATTATACCGTTTGATTAAGTCGGTGGGGCATGAGTCCATACCTAACACCTTAGTGATTAGTGCAGGACCGTGTGTGATGAATACTGGTGTAGAATATATTTTGTTCGCCACAACGAATCGTTTGTCCGATATTGGTCGATATTTCATTTTGTCAATCGCCATTATTTCTTTGTGTTGCATATGATAATAAGAATATAATATTGATATTTCAATACAAGTAAATTAAACCTATTAGTGTACAGTAGTAATTTTAGTGATTAGTTAATATTATTATTGTTTTGCAAGTTTTTAGTGATTAGTTTGGCTTGCTGTTTGGTTTAGAAAACTAACAAACTCTATACCTATGATATAAACTAATCGTGTTTTTAGCCAACATTACAATATAAAGGTACAGATACAGAAAAATAATTATACATGCTCAATTTTTAATATAGATTAGTATCTAATGTGTAAATGTACTTTCTTGGTTTAATTGGCCTGCATGTGACCTGTTGTTTAAATCAAAAATACGCCTTATAAGAAAAACTCTCATGCTTCAATTTGACATATTGATTTAATCTAATATAATAATTTATTAAACAATATATTTTGTTATAATAATAATATTAATAATATTATGATATTGAATGTAATAAAATAAATTATTGAATTTCAATATTTTATAATTGTGGGTATCAAAATATTAGTTGATCGATGTAGAAATTTAATTTAAGGAATTTCCCGCGCGTTGTCCATTCTATTTTTATAGTTTCTAGTATAATGTGTCATATGTTGTAGACAGTCGTCACTACTCACTGCAATATATAAATAATATAGATGGGAATATTTCTATTTGTAAATTGTTAAAGTAGGTCAGGCCAATGAAGCAAGATGTGCTGAGGCATCAATATATTTTATTATATAACACCGCGGTCGTGTCCAGTTCGGGGTGGCGGCTGAGTGATTCGGCGAGCACGTAGGTACGACGGTTGTACGTGTGAAACGTCAATAATAGTACGGGATATATAGGCAATCTGAATTTGCCAAGTGACTTATTTATTTATGTTTGTTTTATATCTGAATAAAAGTGTTTCCGACCCAAAACCCTAGTTTACAATTTTTTTGTCATTCTTAAGTTACCTTTCATCGGAGCAGCGCCGGGATATATGTACTATGTGTCAATGAGGTTTTATTAAACTGAATAGTGCCAGGTATTTGTAATCTTTGAGTCATTTCACTAGATAGGAACGAACTAAGAATCGACAAGCGCATACCATCGTACCTCAAAGTTAACACGTTGGCTACCATGAGTATCACGGTTGTCTCACACCATRATACAATAGACATAATTTTGACGATCTCTGGTTATGTACCACGAGAGTCACGGGGGACTCACAAATCGTCATTATGTGTGTATCGTGTGAGTTTCTGGTGACCCTCAGGTATTTCGTTTTCTTAAAGTTATGTAGAATTAAATAACCAAGAAAACTTATATTTTTTGAGAGTCACGGGTGATACTCATCGTAAATTAAAAAATATTTTTAAAATCAAGTCTGGTGGCCAACGTGTTAACAGTGATATTCTAATTAATTTTAGAGAGTGTCATTAGCTAGAGAATACGAGGGTAAGGCGTATAGTTGCTTTACCACGTATTATTCAATACTGGTGATACCACAAATGTGTAATGTGTAGACAGATAAGATACGATTACATACGTTTATTATGTTAACCATAATATTCTAAATATATCTTTGATAGATATCTGGGTGTATATGTCGTAACAACTTCGTGAAATCGATCTTTTCATGAAAAGATAACATTTCGTGAAATGGAAACACGTTTTTTGCACTTTGTGAAATTCAAAAATATTTTATGAAATGGTCACTCAATTTTAATATCGTGTAATTTTTTCACAAACTGGTCGCTCACTTTTTGTACTGAAATACAACATTTAACAACTTATTCTACCCTTATAAATTTAACTTAAATAATTATATATATAGTAATAAAGTTTATTTATAGGTATCATATTAATTTATTAACCGTATTGTGAACATTTTTTATTTATTAGAGCAGGAAAATTAATTGTGACAACGACTGTTACATTTTAGACTACCTTTAAAACAAACACATATTTTGGTTTGACAAGCACTGTTTCACGAACAACTTAACGGAAACGTCAAGACTATTATACTGCAATTACTATAGACTATCTGAAATGTATAGATGATATTTATTGGTTTTGATAAAAGTCATAATCATTATGATGATCATAAAGAATTAACCTTCCTTAGAAGTTTTGCTCTTTAATATCAAATATAATAGAACAAAATGGTTGATAAGAATAAGTTGATGGTCTATTCTTAAAAATYATAGACATATTATTAATAAATGGACCTGCACTTAGAGAGAGAAATCATGAAACCRGTATTGAATGAGACCGACAATTACAGTTAGAGCAACCCATTAAGAATAATTTTTATTCATTTTATATTTTTTATTGGTAATTATTAAATTTTTCTATTAAATTTCTATTTTTTATTWAACTTTTTTCTTATCTATTCCAATCTTTTATYTATATTACTTACTTTTTTTWWWAAATGCAGGTTCATTTATTGCTATTATATTTTTAATTATTTAGGCATTTTATTTAATTTARAATATTTAATTTATTATTATAGATTAGAAACCAATTTGCAATTAATTTGCAAAATATTGACATAGTTTTGGAAGCGATCGGACAAAGTCGGGGGACTGCGTGAAGTTGGTCCCCCGTAATGGTTTTTTGATTATAATTTTTTTATGAGTAATTTGCAAATTCTAAAAACCAATTTGCAATTATTTGCAATTAATTTGTAAAATATTGACATAGTTTTGGAATCGATTGGACAAAGTCGGGGGGCCAACTTCACACACATTCTCTATAGTCTCTATAGTGGTGGGCATATAACAGCAGTATATATTATTTTGTTAAAATGGATTTGAATAAAATGCGAAGTGAATTTAATAAAGTGATAAAAAAAAAAATATATTTAATTTTTTATTAATTATTGATCATTGATTATTTATTARTGTAATAGCAGGGTTATTAATTATTGTGACAGATTAAATTAAAATATCTAAGAAAAATATATATAGCATCTTTGCCTGWTATCGTTAGGAAATGATAACATGAACTAGGCAATGATATAATTTCCTTCCGCTATCAGGAGTTGTCATCATTTCCTAAATGTCAACATTTCCGGTAACATATACATTTATTACATCAAATTAAATTACATAAATACATTTATCATGTAAACATCGTTAGAATAATGTGCAATTAATGTATAGGAAAAACATATAATGAAAAAAAAAATAATAAATAAATAACAACAAAATGTATAAACATATGAATTTCAACGAATTTGGGTATTATTATTATTATTATTATAGAATTTCTTTATAAGCTATATTCATTGTATCTGTTTTGTTGTTTGGTATTATCCTTGACCAGTTATAGATTCCAAGTCTAAAGAATGATCGTACATATTTCGTACAATAAATCGTGTGCCATTCATTAGATTGGAGTTGACATTTAAATTTATCAAAAGTATTACAATAGTACCTTTCTTTAGTACCAAACTGTGCAGTGGTAAACCACTTAAATGTTAACTATCTAAAAATTCTGWAGGAAACAAAAAATCGACACAGTCTTTTGACACTGTATTTTAACTTAAATACCTACGTTTTTTCTGGCCCTGGTAACATATTGACAATTGAGTTATTTATTTCATTACAATGTTCATTTTTAGGTGTAAGAATTGCAAATTGTGAAAAAATAAACACATTTTCTAAATTAWAAATAATATTTCCAAATACGTTTTTATTTTATTTTTGAAAATAACGATGGTTTAATTTCAATAAAATATTCGTCCGAATAAGGATTTATTAGYGGATATTCACCATTTCTAATTTGTAACAAAAACTTGGAAGATTCAATTTCATTTTGGTTTACTGAGTACCTAAACTTTACTCTCATATTTATAAATAGTTTAAGAATTTTAAAATCTGGCCAAATCAGAGAATGTTTTATGCAGTGAGTGCACATGGCAAGCAACGCGCGTCGCTATGTAACAATAGCGCAAATTTTATACTTCCAATAACTATTTAAGTAATTATTTTTTTGGACTTTCTCTTTTGATGGCTCATCTACACACCGAGTACTTTCGTTTAAAAAAAAAATCGTGAAAATCGGCCCGGTAGAACTTCAGATATAATTGTCGCAAGAAATCGCCTCACGTTTTAATAATATAATAAAGATAAAGATAAAGATTATTGTCTAATGCAGAGGTATTCAAACTTTTTCAGCACGCGGCTCCTTTGGGTGTTCACAATATGTTTACGGCTCCCAAATTATTATGAAAAAATTGAAACAACACACGGATAGGTACAATATGGGAGATATGTTATATGGGTGATAATAACAGTGACTTTAGTACTAGAAATAAAACTTCAAATGGTCGAATCCTAAGRTGTGTCATTTTCATTTCCATAATGATTGCAGATAATATTTATAATAATTATACAGGACCTAGGTATGATGTTGRTTTTCGGTGCTTTGACGCGGCTCCCTTTGCAAACTCTCGCGACGCCCCTGGGAGCCGCGACTCACAGTTTGAATAMCTATGGTGTAATGAATTCATTCAGAGTGAATCTAACTTAGCATATAAAATGAAAMGGAACCCGAGGGAATCGAACCTACATTATGAAAAACGGGAGCCTATAAATTGGCCACTCAAAATGTTTATTTAACATTTTATAATTATTAATTAGATATATTATAACCAGAGTCCATATTATAATAATCTATGAGTTAAAACCTTATATAGTATTCCTATTTGAATTCAAATAAAATAAAAATTTTATATTTATTAAACCCTTAGTATAACAGTATTATTATTTATTATACMTAACGCGGTCCCGCGTAATATCCGTTTGAATTCTTATCGCGCRTCGGTATTGTCCGTTGTCGACTGGTGGTTGAAAAGAGAAGTACGAGTAATTGCGCGAAATTCCACATAAAGGCCGTTTGAATTCAAACGGATATTATGCGTGACCGTGTCATACCTAATTTATAATTTACTGCCTATAGAGCCAACATTGCACAAAAAAATGGTAGGTAAAAA